ATATATATATTAATATATAAGAGGGAAGTACCACCTCTATGGCTGGAATGAGGACCCTCATCCTCAGAGAAGACAATAAACGTACCTCAGGAAAAACTCAAGGTTCTCCCCGGAGCTGTCTGAATATTTTCTTCTCCTGCCACCCCCTATATTGGATATTCTATGTGAACATTTATTAATAAACAGAATACATTTACAGAAAAACAAACATTAATACAATGGCACAATGTATCAAAGATCATGAATTTCCTCCAGCTCCTCCGAGGCTGGACGCGAGCCAAGTATGCAGCAAGCATTTCCCCTCTGGATGGCTATGCTGAGGCGCTGGAACATGAAAGTGGTTGCCCTTGGGTCCCTGGTGGTATCGATGAGTCTGGAACCCAATTATTTAAGGAAACGTGTGGCATTTTTTCCCCATGAACCCAAGGTCTCTGATCCAACTGGGACAAATTGATACTGTTGGCTTATGTCCCTGTACTTGCTGATCTTGTACTCCTCCCTGTGGTCAGCAGCTCCTCCCTGTCGCCCCACACTGTGATGGATATAGATGTCAGCCAGTGTGAACGCACAGGTATAGTCCCATACTAAGAGCTTGCCATTCTTCCAAGGATAGATGGTGATCCCGTCGGGGTGGTTTGGTGGGTTGTGGGTATTGTTGGCTGCTAGTGATCGGGGCTCCCTCTCAGTTGGGCATCAAGCTGTAGCAAGGGTTCTCTTAATGTCATTGACCTCATTGTGTCTTGCATGCCAGCCCTTGGTTTTGGAACACTTAAGACCATGTAGACCATATTGGTCTGCTTGCGCTTCGCCGCAAATACACGTATATTCTGTGTGAACTGAGACAGCAAGGCGCAGAGCCACTGCAATACGGAGGGTCTTAGGGTCGAATCGCGTTCCCATTGCCGATATGGGAACTGTTTGGAGGAAGTCCCTGGAGTGAGGTGCGCTCACAGCCTGGAGACGGGCAATCTCCCTATCTGATGTTGCAGCCCTGAGCATGTTGGCAAGCACCTTTTCAGCGATTGGGCCATCCCAGCTTTACTGTTTGTGAGCCAGTGCTGCACTAGGGTTTGGTGCTGTAGCAGCAAGAGTCTCCCATTTAGTGATGTCACTGGCATAGCTAGGGACTTCTATTCCTGCTGAGTCGCTGAGGGTATCAGGAAAAATTTGTCTTATCAACTCGTTTAATGCTATGGAAGAAGATAGGAAAGCTGGTAGAGCAATCTGGGAGGATCTGCGTACTCCTAGCCCTCCAAGCCTGACCGGAAGTGAGGCTTGCAACCACTGTCCGTCTTCAAGGGAAAGATTCAATACACTCTCTAGCATGGTCTTAAGGAGAGAGTCATATTCTTTGAGTTTTGGACTGGAGAAGGCTGGGGAGCATCTCAGAAAGTAGGTAAGTTTTGGGATTGACAGGCACCTGGTGAGTAGGTAGAAGGCATCGTGTGTGTCAATGTCTTTCGTCCTGCTTTCCATCATCCGGAGGTCTGAGACTTTTTTTTTTCTAGGATCAGATCGATGGCATTGGACCCAAGAGGAGCACCAAGGAGAGTGCGCTAATATATATATATATATATATATATATATATATATATATAATATATATATATTATATATATATATATATATATATTATATATATATAGATGTGGATAAAAAGGCTTCAAGAAAGAATATTTGGATTTCTTCCTAAAGCCGTTTGAATATTCCACTTCCCTGCCACCCACTTTTCATATTTTTTTTTACCAATAGGAATATTTTATTACATAATATGGTACAAAAGATTTAAGAGATGTACATTGTTGATATAAAGGTGCATATTACGGTACATGTTGTTACGTGTGTATCACCGATTATAAGGTGAAAATCTCATCCAGTTCCTCAGAGCTGGGGCGTGTGCCAAAATACAGCAGGCATTACCCTTTGGAAAGCCGCACTGAGCCGCTGGAACAGAAAACTAGTGCCCTGGGATCCCTAGTTTACCTGATGAGTCTTTTTTCCCAGCTCCTTAAGGAATTTAGATGATTCTTTCCCATGATGGCACAAGGGAGTGTCTGAGCCTATGGATACAAACATATAATATGGAGTTCTCCTATTTTCTAACTTCTGGGACTCCTGAAGCTGGCAGCTGCCCTCCTTCCTCCCTGGTGTATTGGAGATAGGTATCAGCCAGTAGATGCACATGTATGTCCCACATCACCTGCTTCCCATCTGTCCAGGCTTGAGGGTGATACCTTCTGGACGCTTCTGGCTGCCATCAGATCTGCATAGTTGGGGTGGCTTCTTACTGCTGGGCATCGGCTGTTGTGAGGCTCCTCTTGAAATGTTATTAACCTCATGTCTTGCAATCTTTCCCTCGGATTTACGCACACAAGACCGTGGTACCCGAAATCGGTCTGGTGCTTCACGCCACAATATACCTGTGTTCGGCGAGAATAGGGGCGGCAAGTCGAAGGCAACACCGATGCGGATGGTCTGTGGGGTCGAGGCGTGTGCCAAGGCTAGAGTTTGGGAACAGCCAACAGAAAATCCCCTGCATGAGGGGCTCTCACTGGCCAGGAGGTGGGCTCTATCCTTCCCTGACACACACTGAAGCATTGTTGAGGCTATATTTTCCACTATTGAACTATCCCAGTGCGACTGTTTGTAGTTGTTGGGGGGAGCAGGTCTGGTTTCAGAGCCCGTTAGATTATTCCAGATCATGGCTCCGTCAATGAACTTTTGGTTCTGGACTCCAATCTTGTCCCTAAGATGTTCAGGGAGAATCGCTGCTACAAGCCCTCTGGCAATACATGAGGATCAGAAAAGCAGGTAGCGCAATCTGTGTGACTTGCGGACACCAATGCCTCCTAGTCTGACTGGAGTGTCATCTTGGTTCCACTGCCCGTCTTCTAGGATAAGGTTAAGTATTTCGTAAAAAATCTGCCTCGGATCTGTCATATTCGTGCGTATAGGGTTATCATATGAAGGTGCACATCTTAGGAAATATGTCAACCTGGACAGACTCAAGCACTTTGTGAGAAGGTACAAGGCACCGTGGGTGTCCAGATTGCCTATTCGTTGTTCGATTCTCCTTAACTCTTCCAATTTCTTCCTGAGAATTGTGTCAATGGCATTGCTTCCCAGAGGTGCTCCTAGCAAGACACTGTTTGTGGGGTCAATGACTGCTGCTCCTGGTAGTTTTGATCTCACTGCATTTATCACTTGTTGACTGACCGACATGATTTCACATTTAGATGGATTCAGGATGAGACCCATTTCCTGTCCCCGTGTCATTACCTGTGTAAGATCATGTAGGAGGGACTCCTTTGTACCTGCTAGTGTGCCATCATCTAGGAACCAGATGTTTAGCTCGCTGGTCAGTCTGTGATTTCCCTAACTGCTATACAGAAGAGAAATGGCGCAAGAGGATCTCCTTGTTGGACACCCTCCGATGATGTGATTTCATGCTCTCCAAAGAGAAGCATTGATTCCTTGCTATACCCAGCTGCAACAAAAGGGAAGAGACCAGGGAAATGTTCTTGTACTGCTGGTAATACCACGTCTCTTTTCAGGAGATTGAATGCATTCTTGAAATCTAATTTTACCACTGCATTGTCCTCAGGCAGGTTGTTGATATACGCCCTTGTTGCATGAACTACTGCTTCACTTCCTCGAGAGACCCCAAAGCCAAGCTGGTTTGGTTGAAGCATCATGGCTGCCTGTGCACGAATACTTTGGACAACAGCTTTGGATACGAGGCGGCGTAACGTGTTGCCTACTGCAATTGGCCGAATTCCTCCATCCTTCTTTTTAAGTGCACAAAGTGTTGCACCAAAAAAGAAAGGTCTAATTTCATCAGGAATCAGACCAGCCAAGGAATTGTTGACGAACCTTGTGATCTCTGAAAGCAGTGTCTCTGCAATTTCCCCAATAACTGGATTAACCATTTCCTTTAAATGCTGTGGCCTTATTCCACTGTAACCCCCAGCAGAGCCAGATGGGAACGACATTATTGCTTCGTAAATGTCTGAGTTTTCCACAATCAATGGTTCCACAGTGGGGACAGAGGTGTTGGAACTGTTGGTGCCACTGGTTTCCCTGGCAGAGTGCTTTCCTCTATGTGCTTCAGCCGTGTCAGCATTCCTAGGAGCAACTGTATCTTCACTGGTAATAATTCTGATTGCCCCCACTGTGTTGCCCTCTTCAATTTTCTTGCGCACCTGGACTCTGACTTTTTCACTGTCAGTGGAGTGAGTGGGGGTTCTGCCTCTCCCTTTTTTGTGTTGACGGGGAAGGCGAATGAGGTTATCAACTCTAGGAAAATCTCTTAAGGATTTAATTATCATTGAGGCTAGTCTCTTTCCCCTTCTTTCCGGCACAGCTAAGCAGACATTGCCAAAAAGTAGCAAGTTGTGCCATGCCTTGATTGTTGGTGGAGTATTTAAGATAGTGGAACCATCGTTTATTTTTTTCAGGAGGTCTGTAAGTTTCCCAGCTGCGTGTGGACGGGATGCTTTGGGAATATGTGTGAGTGTCCTGGTACCTTTTGCTTTAATTGCTTCCAAGATATTGTCCGATGATATATAATATATATATATATATATATATATATAATATATATATATATATATATATATTATATAATATATATATATATATATATATATATATATGTATATATATATAATCTCACATACATACACACAACAGGAGCAGAAATAAATGAAGTTCAAATTTGACAGCAGTCATTTTTAAAGAGAGCGTCTAACAAACCTCTTCCAGCCTATGGTGATGACTACCCAAGTTTTTCTGATTCTCTCATATGTATACCAAAAGACAGACGAGAGAGGCAGGCAGACAGACGAGAGGTAGGCAGACAAACGAGAGAGAGAGAGAGAGAGAGAGAGAGAGAGAGAGGAGAGAGAGAGAGAGAGAGAGAGAGAGAGAGAGAGAGAGAGAGAATGGGTAGTGGGAGGGAGGGAGGAAAGGAGAGAAGCTGTCAGACTCCCAGCTAGGGGCCCAGGATGGCAGTGTCTGTCTAGAAGGCTGGCACCAGTGCCCGTCAGAGGGCGGTTGGGCTCGCACGTGTACCGAGCGTCGCTGCTGCCGTGTGCCAGTCAGTGCAACCTCTGGCCTTCCTCCTCTAGCAGTATGCAAGTGCTTACCACCAGTGTGCAAGTCAAACCCTGGGGTGACATGGATGGCATCATGGCCACACCAGTAACCCGCACTTTAGCCCAGATAACGAAGTGAAGTCAGTGACATGAACCTGATAACGAGATAATCAGTGACAATATTCTCATTCTCGGCAGCTCCCGTTTGATAACGATAATTCCTTCTAGTAACGTGATAACCAGTTATAATGCTTCTGCTGATGATATAATCCCTCGTGTAACGATAAAACTTGTGAGAGTATTTCCTATTAACGAGACCTCCGATCCGATAACGAGAGAACCAGTGGCAGAACTTCCTGTTGTCGTTACCTCCCACTTTGACAGTGAAAAAAACAGTAATAATACTGCCGGAACACATACCTTTCATCTGATAATAGAACCAGTGGTAGTATTTTCTGTTAACGCTAGAACCAGTGGTAGTATTTTCTGTTAACGCTAGAACCAGTGGCGGTATTTTCTGTTAACGCTAGAACCAGTGGTAGTATTTTCTGTTAACGGTAGAACCAGTGGTAGTATTTTCTGTTAACGGTAGAACCAGTGGCGGTATTTTCTGTTAACGCTAGAACCAGTGGTAGTATTTTCTGTTAACGGTAGAACCAGTGGTAGTATTTTCTGTTAACGGTAGAACCAGTGGTAGTATTTTCTGTTAACGGTAGAACCAGTGGTAGTATTTTCTGTTAACGGTAGAACCAGCGGTAGTATTTTAATGATAGAACCAGTGGTAGTATTTTCTATTAACGATAGAACCAGTGGCAGCATTTCCTGTTAAAGATAGAACCAGTGGCAGCATTTCCTGTTAAAGATAGAACCAGTGGCAGCATTTCCTGTTAACGATAGAACCAGTGGCAGTATTTCCTGTTAACGATAGAACCAGTGGCAGTATTTCCTGTTAAAGATAGAACCAGTGGCAGCATTTCCTGTTAAAGATAGAACCAGTGGCAGCATTTCCTGTTAACGATAGAACCAGTGGCAGCATTTCCTGTTAACGATAGAACCAGTGGCAGTATTTCCTGTTAACGATAGAACCAGTGGCAGCATTTCCTGTTAAAGATAGAACCAGTGGCAGCATTTCCTGTTAAAGATAGAACCAGTGGCAGTATTTCCTGTTAACGATAGAACCAGTGGCAGCATTTCCTGTTAACGATAGAACCAGTGGCAGCATTTCCTGTTAAAGATAGAACCAGTGGCAGCATTTCCTGTTAAAGATAGAACCAGTGGCAGCATTTCCTGTTAACGATAGAACCAGTGGCAGCATTTCCTGTTAAAGATAGAACCAGTGGCAGCATTTCCTGTTAAAGATAGAACCAGTGGCAGTATTTCCTGTTAACGACAGAACCAGTGGTAGTATTTCCTGTTAACGATAGAACCAGTGGCAGTATTTCCTGTTAACGACAGAACCAGTGGAAGTATTTTCTGTTAATGATAGAACCAGTGGCAGTATTTTCTGTTAACGATAGAACCAGTGGCAGTGTTTTCTGTTAACGATAGAACCAGTGGCAGTATTTTCTGTTAACGATAGAACCAGTGGTAGTATTTCCTGCTAACGATAGAACCAGAGGCAGTATTTTCTGTTAACGATAGAACCAGTGGCAGTATTTCCTGTTAACGATAGAACCAGTGTAGTATTTTCTGTTAACAATAGAACCAGTGTAGTATTTCATGTTAACGATAGAACCAGTGGCGGCATTTCCTGTTAACGATAGAACCAATGATAGTATTTCCTGTTAATGATAGAACCAGTGTTTTTTAAAACAATACCTCCACTCTGATAACGAAAGAACCAGAGGCAGTACTTCCTGTTGACCATACCTTCCCTCTTTGATAACGACATTTCCTCTCTCAACGATATATGCCAAAAGATATTGATTTCCTCTCTGAAAACGGTGCGTGACAACGACATTAACGCCACCATAAAAATATCTGCTCGTTCCTCTATGATAACGAGACGTTCCCCTTGATAGCGACATTTCATCTCTGATAACGACATTTCTCCCGTTGATAACCATCATATACACACACAATATATATATCAGAGAACAGAACTTCCCACTCAGAACCCCACACTCTCAGAACCCCACACTCTCAGAACCCCACACACTCAGAACCCCACACACTCAGAACCCCCCCACACTCAGAACCCCCCCACACTCAGAACCCCCCACACTCAGAACCCCCACACTCAGAACCCCCCACACTCAGAACCCCCCCACACTCAGAACTCCCCACACACACAACCCCACACACACACACAACCCCACACACACACAACCCCCCACACACACAACCCCACACACACACACACAACCCCACACACACACACAACCCCACACACACACACAACCCACACACACACACAACCCCACACACACACACAACCCCACACACACTCAGAACCCCACACTCAGAACCCCACAATGACATACAGATTGCGCCGGCAATATTAGATCAACGGGAGTTGGTTAGGGAGATGTGCATCTGTTTGCCCGTTGCCTAAACAACAGGTCGGTCTTCCCCCCTACAATCCCTTTTTTCCCCCTCACTCTCTTTCCTTAATCTTTCCCCCTTAATGACCCGCACCCCTTTTATGACATCATTCTTTCTCCCCCTCTGACGTCATCCTTTCTCCCCCACTGACGTCAATGTGTTTCCCCCTCTGCTTTTATCTTTTACTTCTGCTGTTGGGCTGACCTCGGCCTCCTGCTGTTGCTGCTGCCGGGCTGACCTCAGCCTCCTGCTGTTGCTGCTGCCGGGCTGACCTCAGCCTCCTGCTGTTGCTGCTGCCGGGCTGACCTCAGCCTCCTGCTAGTTGCTGCTGCCGGGCTGACCTCAGTCTCCTGCTGTTGCTGCTGCGGGCTGACCTCAGCCTCCTGCTGTTGCTGCTGCCGGGCTGACCTCAGCCTCCTGCTGTTGCTGCTGCCGGGCTGACCTCAGTCTCCTGCTGTTGCTGCTGCCGGGCTTACCTCAGCCTCCTGCTGTTGCTGCTGCCGGGCTGACCTCAGCCTCCTGCTGTTGCTGCTGCCGGCTGACCTCAGCCTCCTGCTGTTGCTGCTGCCGGGCTGACCTCAGCCTCCTGCTGTTGCTGCTGCCGGGCTGACCTCAGCCTCCTGCTGTTGCTGCTGCCAGGCTGACCTCAGCCTCCTGCTGTTGCTGCTGCCAGGCTGACCTCAGCCTCCTGCTGTTGCTGCTGCCGGGCTGACCTCAGCCTCCTGCTGTTGCTACTGCCAGGCTGACCTCAGCCTCCTGCTGTTGCTGCTGCCGGGCTGACCTCAGCCTCCTGCTGTTGCTGCTGCCGGGCTGACCTCAGCCTCCTGCTGTTGCTGCTGCCGGGCTGACCTCAGCCTCCTGCTGTTGCTGCTGCCGGGCTGACCTCAGCCTCCTGCTGTTGCTGCTGCCGGGCTGACCTCAGCCTCCTGCTGTTGCTGCTGCCGGGTTGACCTCAGCCTCCTGCTGTTGCTGCTGCCGGGCTGACCTCAGCCTCCTGCTGTTGCTGCTGCCGGGCTGACCTCAGCCTCCTGCTGTTGCTGCTGCCAGGCTGACCTCAGCCTCCTGCTGTTGCTACTGCCAGGCTGACCTCAGCCTCCTGCTGTTGTTGCTGCCGGGCTGACCTCAGCCTCCTGCTGTTGGGCTGATTCCAGCCTCCTGCTGTTGCTGCTGCCGGGCTGACCCCAGCCTCCTGCTATTGCTGCTGCTGGGCTGACCCCAACTTCCTGCTGTTGCTGGGCTGACCCCAACCTCCTGCTGTTGCTGCTGCTGGGCCGACCCCAGCTTCCACTGACTCACCTCGGACGTTATTTCCCCTCCCCCTCTGCCTTCCCTCCCTCCCTTCCTTCCTTCCTTTTTAGCTCCTTCCCTCCACCCCTTCCTCACTCCCTCCACCCCCTTTCCACCCTCCCCCTCTCCACTCCTCCCTCCCTCCAGTCCTACATTACGATATAATTACCTTCACTTCTAGATCTCTCAGAGGTAGTCCAATAAACGCCTTGAGTAAATATCCTTCACTAAAGAACTCTAGGGTGTAACTTACCTCCCCATCCCCACTCGACACTCAATCCCCACTCATCCCTCCTACCCCACTCATCCCTCCTACCCCACTCATCCCTCCTACCCCACTCATCCCTCCTACCCCACTCATCCCTCCTACCACTCATCCCTCCTACCCCACTCATCCCTCCTACCCCACTCATCCCTCCTACCCCACTCATCCCTCCTACCCCACTCATCCCTCCTACCCCACTCATCCCTCCTACCCCACTCATCCCTCCTACCCTACTCATCCGTCCTACCTCACTCACCCCTCCTATCCCTCCTTCCCCATCTGGGGGGCCGCCTGTGTAAGTATTCACCTAATTGCACTCGTGTAATTGAATTTACAGGCTTCGAGTCTCAGCTCCTGGCCCCGCCCTTCATCTGGCCGCTCATTTGTTTACTCCTAGGTGCGAGAGCCCTATTATACCTATTCTTAAAACTGTTTATGAATTCTGCCTCTACCACTTCACCGTCTAGGTTGTTACACTTCCCGACCACTCTAAGGCTAAAAAATTATTTCCTAACATCTCTGTGACTCAGCTGTGATTTTTAACTGTAGCTCTGCCCTCTGCACCTAAGACCCGCCTCTCAGACTTGCCCTATTCACCCTGTTAATTCCTTTTAGTATTTTGTATGTTGCAATCATGTCACCTCTGCTCCTGTCCTCTAGTGTCGTCAGGTTTAGCTCCTCTAGCCTCTCCATATATATATATATATATATATATATTCCTTAATTCTGGGACTACTCTCATTACAAACCGTTGCACTTTTTCCAGTTTAATGTACTTTAACAGATGAGGATTCTACATTGGCGCTGCACACTCCTAGATGGAATTAATATTACCCCGTTGTTTTCATAATATTCTTGTCTTAGTCTCTTGCTGTTTAGTAGTGAGTTGTGCATTACTGCTATCAGCACCTTGGGTCCTCCAGTTATGAGTGTCCCTATTATTTCATGATTCACCCACTCTCTGTCCATTCCATTCATCTCAACATACCACTGGTTTTTGATCAGCAATGCAACTCCTCTACTTTCCCTGTCCTTTTTCATTATTAAACATCCTTCGGGGAAGACAGCATCTGTTATCACCTCCGCGAGCTTAATCTGTTATTATTACAGAATAGTGGATGCCTCCACTATTCTCCTTCCATTCAGTGCTCTTATTTGTTATACCATCTACATTAGTATACCACACTGTCAGTATCTTATCTGTTTTTCTGTACGGGTTTTTCAGGGTCCTGTTCTCCTGGTTCTTGTCCATGTGTCAAGGAAGGGATGGGTATGAGGCTGGGTGGAGATTTGGGGTGAAGGTAAAGCACTGGTAGGTAGTGAGAGAGAGAGAGAGTGTGTGTGTGTGTGTGTGTGTGTGTGTGTGTGTGTGTGTGTGTGTGTGTGTGTGTGTGTTGTGTGTGTGTATGTGTGTGTGTATGTGTGTATGTGTGTGTGTGTATGTGTGTGTGTATGTGTGTGTATGTATGTATGTGTGTGTATGTGTGTGTGTATGTGTGTGTGTGTGTATGTGTGTGTGTATGTGTGTGGTTGTATGTGTGTGTATGTATGTGTATGTGTGTGTGTGTATGTGTATGTGTATGTGTACGTGTGTGTGTGTGTGTATGTGTGTGTGTGTGTGTGTGTATGTGTGTGTGTGTGTGTGTATGTGTGTATGTGTATGTGTGTATGTGTGTGTGTGTGGGGGGGGGGGAAGAACTCTGCCCATTAACCTAGGTTGTTCTACTAATCTCTGGTGTGATACTACATCAAATGCTTTTCTACAGTTTAAGAAAATACAATCCGCACAACTTTATTGGGTGGATTGTTTTACTACTGTGACTCTGCCGTAGAATTCCTGTAAATTCATAAGACAAACTTTTCCCTTCCTAAACCCATGCTGTTTTCCCTAAAAACAAAACAAAAAAAAAAACTCTTCAAATGTCCCAATATTCTTTTTTGTACTATCTTCTGTAGAACGTTTGACAGTATGCATGTTAGAAATACTGACAGTATACATGTTAGAAATACTGACAGTATGCATGTTAGGAAAACTGGCCTGCCCTTCAGGACCTCTTGTCTGTTTCCTTTTTTATACATAGGAACGACATTTGCCATTTTCCAATTTTCTGGCAGATGTCTTGACTGGAGAGACAGGTTGAATAAATAACTTTGCTGTTGGGTCACATAGTTGTTTTGCCCGTCTCTCTGTACCCATGGAGGTATATCTGGTCCCACTGCTTTTGTTACATCCGGCTCTTGTAAGAGTCTCATCATTTCTTTCGTGCTGATACTTTCCAGCATCTGTTGGTCAGGTGCCTCCCCACAGTTCTTCGTTTTCCACTGCCAACACTTCTTTGAATCTTCTCTATCATTCTCTGTTAGTCTCTTTCCCTCATTCCCCAGCTTTATAACTTGCTCCTTCACATTTTTAGGTGGCTAAGAAATAACTTTGGTTCTGTTTTGGTCTTGGATGTTTTATCATTTTCAGCCTTCCTTATTCTGGCATGTTCCTTCCTGGCTCTCCTGTTTTCCTCTCGGTTTTCTGCATTTTGATTTGTTTTATATTTTCTTAAAGACCTCTTGCTTCTACCCTTATCCTCTCTACATTCTTGGTTAAACCATGGGCTCTGTTCCTCCTGCTTGTTATTCTTCATGTTTGGTACGAATCTCACCTTCGCGACTAGTCACAAAAAATATGGAGTTTATATGAAGTTGCAGGGAAATTTTGAAGGGAGATACACGAAGCAATGACGTGCTGAGATAAAGATCACTAAAAAATGTGTATGCTGACTTAACTGAAGAACGTAGGAAAGAACAAAACTGACAGATAGCAGACACAAGTATACTCCGTTTAGGCAGCGGAAGCAAGGGTATTTTTCAAACCGTTTCCAATCCGCTAATATATTTCTAGTTACTACCTTATATTAACACTAGGTGCTGAGGGCGTCTCACATTAAGCCAATTAGTTTGTCTTGTGACCTGACATATCGTGAGAGGATAAAACTTGAAATATACACGAACGCTTGAGTATTATTCTCTCTATATTGTGTTCTTCGTGAGAGATGTGAGAGTATTTAATACATAGTGTATTAAAGGTATCATGAACCAAAAAGGTTATGGTGTTCTGAGTGAGGGAAGGGGGGGAGGGAGACAGTTTACACCTGATCCCTAGACACAAGTGGCACGATGAAATAGGTCAATACACTGGTCATTGGTAAGTGTTGTGTTTCACACATGAGTGCACCCACTATGAGACAGCAACACATGACGCATCGAGGCTTTCAAGCGAGCAGTGTCAGTGAAAAAGTGATCAGTGCCCCCACAGGAACGGTGAAGCCATCACCAGCGAACCACCGTGTGTGTGCAGTGACTGGTGACTGTGTTGAACACGGAGCTTAAATTATGCCCGAGGTAAACACAGATTTTACATTTCTGTGAACGTAACAGTGTAAACAAGGTGGTGCGTAGAATCCAACTAGGGTCAGGCAGGGGGAGATTTATGTGTAACTGTAACTGTTGCGTGTTTTAGATGTTTACGAAAAATTTCTGCTATGCATTAACAATACTCGTTTTTGTAAATTTGCATTTTTAATTTTGCACAAAATCTACCGCAGCAGCGATGTTTGAACTGATTTTCGTAGAATTGTCGTAACAATAAATTTACACTGTTTGGCAAAACGATCATTGATTTGTAAGCCAAGACCGCAAGCTCTGGCTAAAGAGCACAACATATACAAGGCTTCATGTGACGTTCAACTCTTTGTCAGCCACGAGTGACGTATGTTTATTTAATTTTGTGGATACAGCTAAGAGACGGATATCAATATGAACCTGGCATAATATTGACAATACAGCAGGTGTGGTCAAGTGGTAATATGAGGGTGAGGGAGTGCCGTGGCCTCACCTGGTATAGTGCCTCCTAGAGTGCTGCCACTCGGAACCTTGCTGACGTAAATCTTGCATTATTTCCAAAGGGCAATTCATTCTCCTTCCACATCATATATTACGATACTCGCGCCCGAACGCTCGATCGTGTCCAATACTTCGCTTTAGGCAAATATATATTGAATCATTTACAAGGAAACGTTTGTGATTGTAAAACGTTATTTCCCTCCCACAGCTGTTGACAGCACTACGGACTCGCATTCGACACTCCTAGTGGAAAGATAAACTTGTAACACATGGAACTAAAGTATCAGCAGTGAGAACATTGGAATAATTCAGCACTGCTTGAACATCTTCCCCTGGTCCAATCTTCACAGTTACAGCCTCCTCCCTTCAGTGCCCTACTGATATTCCTTATATTCTTACACGTCATCTCGCTGCAGCTCCTCTCTCCTGCATTCTCCTGGTATTTTCTTACCTCCCCGTTCCCTCTCCTCATCCTCCGTACCATTCCCTTCCTCATATTTAATACATTCCTAGCCTTCTCTTCACCGTTCCTCCCACTTCATTAATAATAGTTTAATTTATCTATAGCTTAGTTATAATTACTCTGGACTTTTCATTTCTGTAAACTGATAACACAAGCCAGCTGTTGCATCAAGCCAGTGATAAATACACGAGATCTAGTTTTGCTTGTAATCCTATCTACCAGTCACACACAAACTGACAAAAACCTTAACCCAACAGCTGGTTATCTCTTCATCGCAAAGCTCTTGAACTTTCTTGAAATAGTTATAATAATAGCAGAAACTCATCTATTCCAAAACATCTGACTTTCCTTGTCCTTCACTCTAACTTTCCTGGTAGAACATACATTCCCTATTTCACACATAATTTACTCAACTTTTACTCTGATTTCCCCCACCCTTAACTTCATCCTCATCACTATAACCCCTTTTTCATTCCTCCTCAACCTCCCCTAACCAGGAGAACACAAGAAGAGGGAAGCACTGCAGTAGGCTTACTGGCCTAGCTAGCATCTCCTCACCCAGGCCAGAGAAGGAACACTCACAGCCTAAGACTTCGAAACATAAACCTCAAGTCTGCCTCCTGGGGTCGAGTTGAGTGACGTCATGTGATCAGTGGGCCGAGCAAGATGGGCTGTAAGGGATCCAAGTCGAAGAAGAACGCCTACGCTAGGGTCGCTCAGTACCAGAAAGGTGAGTTAAGTTCTACCTAAGCAAACAACAGAACGGGTGGGGACTGAATCCATGGCGAGTCCTAGGACTCGCCAAACCCGTTCCGTGGTTTGCATCCAATCGTGTTATTACAAAGCTCTACCTGTTCAGTCTCTCTCATGCCGACGTAACCACATTTCTGTTAATTCAACCGACACCATGAACAAAATACATCCTACCAAATGAAAGTATAAACAATATGACAACCACAATACTAAGCACAGTATCGAACTCATTCTTCAATCTTATAGGTCACATTAACCGCTATCACCTCTGCATATCCAACATACACTTATTGAATCATGTAGTCATTACACAAATACTACAATTGTTTGAAGAGATATAATAAAAATGTTGGTTAATGGTTCACAAAGTTACATTTTGCACTTCTTAAGAAACCTTGAAAAAAATTTTCATTATGACCCGGAGACTTATTTTGCTTCAATCTGTCTACCACCAACAAATGGTAAGAGAGACACGCAGTATAATGCGATACTTTACTGACGACCTTATCACACCACATAACAGTAACTTGACCTAATAAAGCTCACTGTGTGCTCGAAATATCAAGTAAAGGCTCGCAGCATACAACATTTCTGTCTCTTGTACCACGGTGTGTATTATATACTATTTCTCTGCATCACTTTCACATGCAATAAACCTATAATATTAATAGCGATAAAAGATACAAAGATATGAAATTACATCACATCTGAGTAATAAGTCAGAACGACATTAATAACAGCGATTTATATAACACGTGAAGAATGACATTAAAAACAGAGGCGCTCAAAAAATGTAATACAAAAAAGATCACTATAAACAACAGCTGAATGTAATTACAAAGAGATTAACAAGACAAGTGAAAAACGAAGCGACGGCAAGTGTAAAAAGTATGTCTTTCACTAATGGAGGTCAAGCTGACGGATGCTGCATACTGTCTGCCACCTTGGTGCAGGCGGAATCCAGAGTGGATGACACGCCTCCAGAGCGGATGAAACACTGCCACCTGCTCGTGCAGCTACTGCTGTTATTATAGTCGGTACTGCATTTACTGTAGCTACTGCTACTTATGATGATGACGCCGCTGTTCCTGCTGCTGCCGCTGCTGCTGATCCGAGGTCGCTCGTATGTGAGAAGACTTAGAGCAGTAATCCACTGAGGAAGAGAGTTTGGACTACAAGCAGCCTGCAGGTGGTTGAACCTCACACACACACACACACACCACACACACACACACACACAATGATAACGAAATACAAAATACTGCTTGGAACAGACAAGGTGGACACAGACAGGATGTTCCAGAGATGGCACACAGCAACAAGGGGTCACAGTTGGAAGTTGAAGACTCAGATGAATCACAAAAATGTTAGGAAGTATTTCTTCAGTCACAGAGTTGTCAGGAAGTGGAATAGTTTGGAAAGCGATGTAGTGGAGGCAGGATCCATAAATAGCTTTAAGAAGAGGTATGATAAAGCTCATGGAGCAGGAAGAGGGACCCAGTAGCGGCCAGTGAAAAGGCGGGGCCAGGAGCTTTGAATCGACCCCTGCAACCACAACTAGATGAGTACAACTAGGCGAGTACACACACACACAGCCTGCAAGTAGCTAGACTTCTACACACACACACACACACACACACACACACACACACACACACACACACACACACACCACACACGCGCGCACACACACAAACACAAACACAAACACACGCACACGCACGCGCGCGCACGCACACGCACGCACGCGCACACACACACACAAATACACACACACACACACGCGCGCGCATGCACATACAACAGGCCTAGTGTCTAATCGACATGTGCCTAGGACCAAATGGTAACTAACGCATGCACATACAACAGGCCTAGTGTCTAATCGACATGCGCCTAGAACCAAATGGTAACACACAACACACACACACACACACGCATGCACATACAACAGGCCTAGTGTCTAATCGACATGTGCCTAGGACCAAATGGTAACTAACACACACACACACAAACACACACACACACACACACACACACATAACAGGCCTAGTGTCTAATCGACAAGCGCCTAGGACCAAATGGTAACACACACACACACACACACACACACACACACACACAACACACACACAACACACACACGTTCAGGACCCTGTACACCGTGTACGTTAGGCCCATACTGGAGTATGCGGCACCAGTTTGGAACCTACACCTAGCCAAGCACGTAAAGAAACTAGAGAAAGTGCAAAGGTTTGCAATAAGACTAGTCTCAGAGCTAAGGGGTATGTCCTATGAGGAGAGGTTAAGGGAAATCGACTTGACGACACTGGAGGACAGGAGAGATAGGGGGACATGATAACGACATAAAAAATACTGAAAGGAATTGACAAGGTGGACAAAGAAAGGATGTTCCAGAGATGGGACACAGCAACAAGGGGACACAGTTGGAAGTTGAAGACACAGATGAATCACAGGGATGTGTGTGTATGTAGGAGGTTTAGCCACTTGTGGCTAAACCTCCTACATACACCCAGCCTGCAGGTGGCTAGACCTCCCCCACACATACACATCCTGCAGGTGGCTAGACCTCCCCCACACATACACATCCTGCAGGTGGCTAGACCTCCCCCACACATACACATCCTGCAGGTGGCTAGACCTCCCCCACATACACATCCTGCAGGTGGCTAGACCTCCCCCACACATACACATCCTGCAGGTGGCTAGACCTCCCCCACACATACACATTCTGCAGGTGGCTAGACCCCCCCCACACACACACAGCCTGCAGGTGGCTAGACCTCCCCCCCCACACACACACACAGCCTGCAGGTGGCTAGACCTCCCACACACACAGCCTGAAGGTGGCTCGACCTCCCACACCCACACACACAGCCTCCAGGTGGCTAGACCTCCCACACATACAGCCTGCAGGTGGCTAGACCTCCCACACATACAGCCTGCAGGTGGCTAGACCTCTCCCCCACACACACAGCCTGCAGGTGGCTCGACCTCCCACACCCACACACACAGCCTGAAGGTGGCTCGACCTCCCACACTCACACACACAGCCTGAAGGTGGCTCGACCTCCCACACCCACACACACAGCCTGCAGGTTGCTAGACCTCCCTCACACACACACAGCCTGCAGGTGGCTAGACCTCTCCCCCACACACACACAGCCTGCAGGTGGCTAGACCTCCCCCACACACAGCCTGAATGTGGCTCGACCTCCCACACCCACACACACAGCCTCCAGGTGGCTAGACCTCCCACACACACACACACAGCCTGCAGGTGGCTAGACCTCTCCCCCACACACACAGCCTGCAGGTGGCTAGACCTCCCCCACACACAGCCTGAAGGTGGCTCGACCTCCCACACCCACACACACAGCCTGCAGGTTGCTAGACCTCCCCCACACACACACAGCCTGCAGGTGGCTAGACCTCTCCCCCACACACACAGCCTGCAGGTGGCTAGACCTCCCACACACACACACAGCCTGAAGGTGGCTAGACCTCCCACACACACACACAGCCTGAAGGTGGCTCGACCTCCCACACCCACACACAGCCTCCAGGTTTCTAGACCTCCCACACACTCTCTCTCCATCTTTGACGTCACCACAGTGACCCGTTACATCACCAGTGACGCACACGTGGGTGGATCGTTGCGTGCGTGCCTGTGTGCGCGCGTGCGTGAGTGCATTTCTACTGAGTTGCGTTCGAGACTCAGCTCCTGGTCCCCCCTCCTGTCTACCTGGGTCTCGTCATATCTACTCCCGAAGGGGTGTACTGAGCTTGCCTCCACCACTTCCTTACATCCTTATGGCTCATGTGTGTCTTCAGCTTCCACGTGTATCCCCTTGACACTGGTCCTCTTAATTCAATCTGTCTATATCAATTCCTCTTATGATTTTGTACATAGTAATCACGTCACTTTTTTTCCTTCTCCCCTCTAAGGTCGTCAGGATCAGTTCTTGCAACTTCTCATAGTGCAAACTTCTGGGCCTTTTCCAGTTTCTTCAAGTGCTTGACCAAGCGTCTGACCAAGTGCTTGACCAAGCGTCTGACCAAGTGCTTGACCAAGTGCAGGCGCCATGCCAGAGCCTCGTACTCAACGACTGGTCTATGATATGTCGTATATAATGTTCTGAAGGACTATTTATGTTCTTGAATCCTTTCCTGAGGTTTGCTAACCTTCATATTCTGCTGACGTTATACGGTTTACGTGTATTTTTTGGCGACATGTTTGGTGTTATAGTTATTTATAGATCCTATCCACTCTGATATCTGCAGCGTCTGTCCCGTCTGTACTCTGTCTGGTCTGCCTTCACCTTCTCCAAATCGCATGACCTTACATTTTTTCGGGTTTAATCCTAGAAGCCACATCTCTTGTCGATAGAGGTTTTCCTGCAGTCTATTTCTATTTCCTCTGTTATTATTCTTGTCATTAATTTACATTATTCGGAAAGAGTGGCACAGAGGACTCAGTTTCCTTTGGTATATTAGAAGAGTAGTGGTCCTAGTATTGATCCTTGAGGAAACCCACATGCTACCCTCTCGTATATTCTGATGGCTTATTTCTTACTCTTATTCTCTATCGTGTTTCATTAAGGTTCTCCTTTACCCGTTCCTCTAATTTCTGGACTAATCTCTGGTGTGGTTGTGTCAAATGCTTTCCTGCAATACAAGATGATACAACTCGCCCAGCCCAGTCGTTTTTGTATCTCTTCGACTTTGTCGTAGCAATCCAGCAAATTTGTATAACAGGAGTTTCTGTATAACAAGCGTGTTCTCTTTTTCTTGCTATCTTCTTCAGAAATTCTGATAATATAAATATTAAAGATACAAGTCTGGTGGTGAGTCCTTCGTCTGTCCCCCTTTTTTATATACGAGGATCACTTTTGTTATTTATCAATTGTCTGGCACCTGTCAAGAATGGAGAGACTGATTACCTTTACTACTGGGCCC